AGCCTCTGTCCCTCCCTGTGTAAAAAGCTTCAGTGTCTTTATATCACTTCCAAATAAAGTGTTAAGACCCTTTTACATGACCTTTGAGGCTCTGGGATCTGGCCTCTGCCTGCCTTTCTAAGCTCATCTCTCTTCCCTCCCTGCTTCTATTTTATTGTCATTTAACACAGAACTGTGTGTGGTTCCCTGTACTTTTCTTACTTGCCTCCGTACCCCTGCAAATGCTGCCCTTCTGCCTGAAATCTTCTCACTTGCTTAACTAGTTTACATCCTTTAGAAGCAGCTAATGTTATCACTTTCTCTGAGGAACATTCCCTGATACTCCACCTCCCCCCACCCAAGCTTAGTTAGATGTACTCTCATGATGCCCTGTCCTCATTTCTTTTTTTTTTTTTTTTTTTTTTTAAAGATTTTATCTATTTATTTGTCAGAGAGAGAGAGAGAGGGAGAGAGAGCGAGCACAGGCAGACAGAATGGCAGGCAGAGGGAGAAGCAGGCTCCCTGACGAGCAAGGAGCCCGATGTGGGACTCGATCCCAGGACGCTGGGATCATGACCTGAGCCGAAGGCAGCTGCTTAACCAACTGAGCCACCCAGGCGTCCCCCTGTCCTCATTTCTTATCCCTGAACTTAGGTATTATCTTACAATTGCCTGTGTGCATCTGCATTATATTGGGAGCTCCCTAAGGATAAGATATTTTTATTCTTATATATTAGAACAGTGCTTGGCACATGATTGTTATGCCATCATTTACATCAAACAAATGAGTTACTGACTTGCTAGCAGTCCATTATCTTATTAGACTAAGCACAAGTCTAAGGCAGTATGGTAGAGATGAAGAGAAGAAGCTAGTTTCAAGAAGTCTTTATAAGGTAGAATCAAAATTGAGTAGTAGATTAGATATGGGAAGAAAGTTTCTAAGCTAGGGAACCTAACTGTTGGTCATGTCATTACATGAGATAGGTATTCCAAGGTGGGAAACAAGTGAGGAGTCATGATGAACTCAGTTTGGGGTATGCTAGGTTTTTTTTTTAATATTTTATTTATTCATTTGAGACAGAGACAGAGAAAGAAAAAGAGAGAGAGAGCATGAGCAGGGGGAGAGGCAGAGGGAGAGGGAGAAGCGGACTACCCACTGAGCCAGAAGCCCAGTGTGGTGCTTGATCCCAGGACCCAGAGATCATGACCTGAGCCAAAGGCAGTAGCTTAACCATCTGAGCCACCCAGGTGCCCCAGGAGTATGCTAGGTTTAAAAAGTGTTTATAGAGTCTATCCAGAAAGAAATAGATAAGACACGGTTAAAAATATGGATACAAGGTGAAAAAAAATATGGATACAGAGTTTGGGATTGGTCAGAACACAGAACCACAGATTTAGAGTTATCTGTTAATGGTATTTGAAACTATTGGGGTGGATTTTTACCCAAGAAAATGATAAGCATTTTGGAATGGGTTTATTGAAGAGGTGACATTTGAACTGTGTTTTAGAAAGCATGGAAGGGCATCATGAATAGAAAGAATTATTTGTTTCCTTCAAAGATTGGGGATCTTTTAATTTTCTTGATTAGTGTATTTTTTCTTTTATTATTTCATGTGATTTCTTTATTTCTTATCATGCCACTGGGATATTCTGGAAATCATAGAGATTGGATACCTGTTATAATGTTATATTTCTCTTCTGGGCCAAATTTCAGATGAAAGAGTTTTCATCTTGCTGATCATTTTCTTCCCTGTCATTTTGCTGTATATGTCCTCATGTTATTGAACCAAGAATTGAGTAACTGTTGTGATTTTTGATTTAGAAAACTCAGCTCTAGAAATGTTCTGTCTGACCTCAGTGAATCTTATGATAAGCCTTGTCCTTGTGTCTCTGTAATTGAGAACTCCTATCGTGTTCCTCCTCAGTTTACTATTTATGAGGATCAGCAAGGCCCTCCACTAAATCCAGCATGCTGTTAATCTTTAATGGCTTCCTCAGGTTTATGTGGAAGGGTGTTTTAATGTCTTCTGGCAGTACTGTTTTCATTTTGCTCTTTTCCATCACTTTAAGTGTCATCTAATTTTTTATATTAATCTTTATAATACAAAGTGTAAGTCTGGGTCCCAAATTAATATTCCTTTCTTCATTGTTCTCCTGATTATGCCTAATAGATGATAGTAAGTCAGGTATTGGGGGGGGGGGGGTTGGGAAACAAATGTTATTCCTTACTTAAACATGCTTTGGTTTGAATAGCCTTGCTCAGGCCTGGAGCCTTAGTACTTCAGAGTTGAGACTCTCAGGTGAGTTGTGTTAACATCATCTACCAGATTGGCCATCTGTGACCACCACATCAATTTCTGCAGAAATCACCTTTTTTTGGTAGCAATAGTTCTTGACTTTTCTCTACCCAGCACAGCCTAAAACTATAACAGTAGCGGTGGCATGCTCGACAGTGATTCTTTTCTGGGATTTGGGAGTTTATCAGAATCTCCAGGGGTACTTATAATTTGAAAAAGTCCCCCAGGTGTGATTCTGATTTGCTCCCTCTTCCTCCTCCTCCTGCTCTGAGAATCATTGTTTCATCTAGAAGCTTCAGCATAAATAGACACATTTACTGTTCTATTGACCTTGCATAGTTGAACTCCCTAATCCTTGTGCATCCTTACCTCCCTTTTGAGTGGTACCAGTATTTCTTTCTAATACCATAGCTTCTGAAACCAATTTCTACCAGTCACCAAGCTACCATCGAAGCAGCCCTGTTAGTGTTTGGAAGCCTGCAAAACAAGAAGGTATCCACTAGCTTGAGGGCCAGGTTTAATGGTGTGGTTTATTTAACTAGGAGTCCTTTGCAAAGACTTAGACTGGAGTCCAGGATTTATAGTAACACCACTCCCCCAGCCCCATCAATTTTATTCCAACATTTTATGATGAAAATTTTCAAATCTACAGCAATGTTAAGAGAATTTCAGTATGAGAATTTGTATATCCACAACCTAGATTCTACAACTAACATCTTCATATATTACTTGCTTAATCATGTATTTACCCAGATATTTATTTCTCTTTCCGTCTGCTCACCTTTCTTAAGAATTTCATAGTAAATTCCAAATATCAGTACAATTTCCCCTAAATACCTTGGCATGCCTATCATTAAGAGTTTAATATTTACTTACAGCCTTTTCTTTTGTTGTAAAATTTACATACAGTGAAGTGCCCAAATTTTAAGTGCTCAGTAGCTGAGTTTTGATAAATGATAAATCTGAATAACCCAAATCCCTATCAAGATATAGATTATATTATAACACCCTCTTTTTTTCTGCCCAGATTATTCCCTCTTGACTTCTATAGTTTCTGACTTAAAGGTAAGAAAAAGGCTTTGTCAGTACTTCCAGGACAAATAGGGATCAGTGTTTAATGATGTATCAGCAGATTTATCTTCTCCATTGCCAAAAGTACCTTATGTTTTAAATTGTATGTGAATGTATTAAAACAGGATACTGAGTAAGTAACTTACCGTTTCAGTTTTTAAATAATAATTTTGGAAAATACTGTATCTAGGTATAAATACCTTATATCTATTTAGTTAACTATTTTATAAGGCAAACCTCTAGTTCAATGAAATATAAGGACATATGCAATAGAAACATAACTGAGAAAGACAAAGAATTGGAGGTGAGATGGGAAAAAATCACATAAATAATAATGTAATATAATATGTATTAATATGTGACTGGTTAAAATATGTATTACATATATCTAACATCATGAGATATCACAGTTGATATCACAGTCTGTACTGACAACAGTGGCTGGTCATTTATTCAAGAATAAACATATCATAGTCTGCCTTTAGGAAATACACATTAAATTCCTCTTATTGTTGGTCTTGGGTGTTCATTATTTTATTTTTAATGCTTTTATGCCTGGTAAATATCTCTTATTTACCTTATTTTTAGAGTGTTATAGCATATTTTAATTTATATCAATATATTTAAAATATTATATAAATTTGAAATTATTTACTTGCATTTTATGAGGAGTAACATACAAATGTATTTCTAATAAAATCTGATCTCAAGAGGAGAAGCTGTGACAAAAGTAAGCTGTGGTATTTTTCATGACAAAAATATATGGCAAACATGCAGCCATTTGCATATCATTTCTGAAATACTGCATACTGGCTTTGTCAGTGCTGGTAAGTCCATTTCAAGGATGTTGCCCTTAGTCCATTAGTTTGGATAATGAGCCCTATAAAGTACATTTATAACTTGTGGCACTGCAAGGAGATGGATTCTAATTTTCATCCTTTTATCTAGACACATTGAAAGAAGGTCAATGGGGGGGTTCCATATAATTCATTGTCCTAACACATATCACATGACAGAGACCTGATAGTGTCCATGCATAAGTGTTTTCCTTATTTAGAAATAGCACTTGAAAGAAATCTTTTTGTGATCATCCTTTGAAGTAAAGTAGAAACTTATTAAAAGAAGCTTTATCCCTCCTTTTTTATTTGTTTAAAACATTATCACATGTGTGACTAGATGGCTATTCTTGAACAAAAGAGAAAGCAACACTTAACAAAAATAAAAAGGTTTTAGTGACTTTTACAGACTGTGATGATATAACAAGATACTTAATAAACTTTTCTCTCCTTTTCTTAGATCTGTTAAGGGGAAAAAAGCCTGTTTTCTAAACAAAAGAAATGCTTCTATGTTCCTAAACATTAGAAAGCTTATGCTTATACTGTAATACTTATACTAACATAATTCTTATTAATGGTATTCAAAATAAATATTTAAATTCTATGCTTACAGCTTAAAGATTTCAAGGTAGCAAAAAGAATATATATTCTATAATTTAGTGTCAGTTTTATGTCAAAATGTGAAATTGTATACAGTTTTGAAGTTTGTCTTCCAAGAAATTGATTTCAGATTCAAAATTGTAGATGATTATGTTTATTTTTCAGTTGTGTAATCATTAATGAGAAATTTTTTCTGCTATGTTTTTCTTCTTTGTAGATGTAAAGCAATCATAGATCAGTTTGGTCAGAGAATAATCTCTAAGCATTTTCTTGTGGAGGACAGTTACTTTTCTGAGAACACATGCTCACATGTACAATACCGGTAAGTCACCCCTCCACTGTCCAAGGGAAGGTGAAACATTGGAAAATTTATCTGTGTGATTAAATTGACACTTCTGTATGACTGTGTGCTTCAAGTTAGTTGCAAATGTGTACCAAACCAAAGACATATCCAATATCTATCTATAGATGTATATAGATATATGTAGATATATATCCACTGAGTCTGGTTGTAGGGGAGGCATCTAATTTTGACTCCATTGCATCAGCTGGGGTTGGTCTGCAGGTCACATATCCTCCTTTCCTTTTTTTTTTCCCCCAAGATTCTATTTATTTGAGAGAGCAAGAGAAAGCATGTGCACGCACACACACAAGCAGGAAGAGGGGCAGAAGGAGAGGGAGAAGCAGACTCCCTGCTGAGCAGGGGGCCCCATGCAAGATCATGACCTGAGGAGAAGGCAGACTCCTTTTTTTTTGTATTTTCTTTTTTTTTATTAACATACAATGTATTATTTGTTTCAGAAGTACATGTCTGTGATTCATCAGTCTTACACAGTTCACAGCGCCCACCATAGCATATACCTTCCCCAATGTCCCATCACCCAACCACCCCATCCCTCCCACCCCTTTTAACTCCAGCAACCCTCAGTTTGTTTCCTGAGATTAACAGTCTCTTTTGGTTTGTCTCCCTCTCTGGTTTTGTCTTGTTTCATTTTTTTCCTCTCTTCCCCTATGATCCTCTGTCTTGTTTCTCAAATTCCACGTATTAGTGAGATCATATAATTGTCTTTCTCTGATTGGCTTACTTTGCTTAGCATAATACCGTCTAGTTCAATCCACGTCATTGCAAATGGCAAGATTTCATTTTTTGATGGCTGCATAGTATTCTATTTTATACACACACACACATACACATATATACATATGCATATATATATATACCACATCTTCTTTATCCATTCATCTGTTGATGGATATCTAGGCTCTTTCCATAGTTTGGCTATTGTGGACATTACTGCTGTAAACATTCGGGTGCAGATGCCTCTTCATATCACTACATTTGTATCTTTGAGGTAAATACCCAGTAGTGCAATTGCTGGGTCATAGGGTAGCTCTGTTTTCAGATTTTTGGGGAACCTCCATACTGTTTTCCAGAGTGGCTGCACCAGCTTGCATTCCCACCAACAGTGTAGGAGGATTTCCCTTTCTCTGAATCCTCACCAACATCTGTTGTTTCCTGACTTGTTAATTTTAGCCATTCTGACTGGTGTGAGGTGGTATCTCATTGAGGTTTTGATTTGTATTTCCCTGATGCCGAGTGGTATGGAGCACTTTTTCATGTGTCTGTTGGCCATTTGGATGTCTTCTTTATAGAAATGTCTGTTCATATCTTCTGCACATTTCTTGATTGGATTATGTGTTTTTTGGGTGTTGAGTTTGATAAGTTCTTTATAGATTTTGGATAGTAACCCTTTATCTGATATGTCATTTGCACGTATCTTCTCCCATTCTGTTGGTTGTCTTTTGGTTTTGTTGACTAAACTCTTAGCCACCCAGATGCCCTCACAATATCCTCCCTTCAATAAGCCAAGAAAAGATTAAAGCAGAGCTTGGCTTGGCTTGATGAGGCAACACTTTTATCATGACTTAAATCTTTGAAATATACCTTCTTATAGTTATATAACTATAAATGAAACTTATTTGTGGAAAATCACTGATTAACTGTTTTGTGCATTACAGGCAGATCTCCAGGTCAGTCCTGATTACAGATAGGTCTGTACTAAAAACGGATTCAGATCAACAGGTAATTTTAGTCCTGTACTTTTTAATAAATGTTGCTAAATAAATGTTCAGGCTCAACCCACTGAACCACCCAGGCGCCCCTTAATGCATTTTTTAAAAAATACATAGTGTCAATTCTGTAATAATCTTGGCTTCTTAAATATTTCCTTCCAGCAGGACAAATACATTTTTTGTAATATTTTATTCTATGAAAGTTGGACTAAATCTTAGTTTTTGACAGCTGTTCTGTGAAATTGAAAACACATTGTTTTGGGAAGAAAAAGAGAATCTCCAGAGAATACATTTAAAACTCTTAGAGGGGGGCACCTGGGTGGCTCAGTGAGTTAAAGCCTCTGCCTTCAGCTCAGGTCATGATCCCAGGGTCCTGGGATTGAGCTCCGCATCGGGCTCTCTGCTCAGTGGGGAGCCTGCTTCCTCCTCTCTTTCTCTGCCTGCCTCTCTGCCTACTTGTGATCTGTCTGTCAAATAAATAAATTTAAAAAAATCTTTAAAACTCTTAGAAGAAAAGGCTTTATGGTAACCAACCCTAGAACAGTGGTGGTAAGCTCACCATTAGGCCTGGTATGAATGAGTACCAGCATACATTTCTGGTTCTAATGTTTCCTCATCACCATTATTCCTTTCAGTACCCTCTTCTTCTCCTTACTGCCAATTCTATAGGAATGTCTTTATGCCTATGGTTTTTCCTCAGTCTGAATTCTTAAAAGAAGTAGGCCCCCTTCTCCTAATCATATTACACAGTAACTGATAAAATCAGCTTTCTTAGTATGACTCTAAGACCTTTTCTATATGCTACTGCTAAAAATAGGTTCCAAAAATTCCTTAAGTTAGAAGATTTTTGGTATATAAAACAAATCTTTGCTATACATATGAGCATAAATAATTCACTTTAATCATTCAGTAAACAATGAATGTCTTTTACATGCCATCCAGTGTGCTGATGTCTGAAGACAGTGCTAACCATGATATCATCTCTGCCCTCATAGCTTGCAGTCTGGAAGATACAGATATAGATAGATAAATAATAGCTATAGTTAAGCATGGCAAGTGTGAGCAAGGACTGGTACAGCAGCTATTGTGGTGCTCATCACACTGTCCTGTAGTTGCCAGTTAACTTGTCTGTGTCTTCCAATAAACTCTAAGCCTTGTGAGTATGTGAGGAGAAAAAATTAAGACAGTTCTGTAGAAGCTGAGCTGTGAGGAGTAGGACAGAGGAAGTGATTGCTGAAGAGAGATGTGGAAGTGAATAGCGCTTTTCTTGAAAAGATTTGCGTATATTTCAGCTGATGCAATGGAGCTAGTAGAGAGGTAAGGAAAGGCTGAAGATACCCAAGAGAAAAGGAATACAATTAACGCAGCAAGGTCCAGGTAAAGGCTGGAGAGGTTGGGATTCAGAGAACAGGTAAAAAGCATTGCCCTTAGATGGGATGTGAGACACCTTGAAATAAGAGGGTGAATATGGGACTGTTTGTAGGTCTGGGAGTTCCCATCTCATAGGATCCATTTACTCTTTTTTTTTTTAAGTTTTAATTTGAGAGTGAGCAAGAGAGAGAGAACAGGAACAGGGTTGGGGGGAGCAAAGAGAGAAAGAGAAGCAGACTCCCCGCTGAGCTGGGAGTCTGGCTCAGGGCTCAATCCGGGGATGCCAGGATTAGGACCCAAGTCAAGGGCAGCCACTTAACCAACTGAGCCACCCTCGTGCCCCTCCATTTACTCTTTAAATTACAAAGTGAGGTTATCTCCTGAGAATGAGTGTATAAGAGTGCTTAACAAGTCAAAGCTCAAGGAAGGGTATAACTCTTCCAACCTTGAAGAGTTGGAGAGTGACCTGTCTCATGGTCAAAAGGCTGGCTGCACAGCATTGATGGTGCAGTTGAGTCTGGAGGTTATGGGTATACAGTGGCATTAATCTGCCCCTATCCTTTCAGCTTTTCCATTCTCACCCTCACCCAGTCTACTCATTGACTTGTTAAGAGACCTATGATTCCTTGTCCTCTCTTTTTCCTCCCAGTTTCCCAGCTTCCTTCTGTCCTCTTCCTTTTCCATGTCCTAGACCCCATGGTTAATCTTCTCAACTGTCCTTCCCCAATACCTTCAATTCCCATGTAGCCGTGTTCTTCCGCTGCGCCCACAGAGGAAAACCCTGTCCCTAGATGAGACTATAATCTATATCTGGATTATAGTCGGATACTTGAGCAAACCACACAACCAGACAGACTGGCACTGCCACAGAGTCAGGGTTGCCAACCTCATTCATCTGGACCCTCAATGCTTATTACCAGTTAGTTTTTCCACTGACCTCAGATGGCTCCCTCTCTCTTTCCCCTCAGTGTCTAATCCAAATCTTTACTATTTTACCCACCTTCTCTCAGCTCTTTCACCTCACCCCCCACTTCACTGCGAAAAGCAGGGCCACCTACTAAGCACAGTGGCCCTTGACCTTCTGCCCCAGCACGCACAACTCATGTACAAGTACAGAGACTAATGAGGAGGCTCCCCTCCTTGTCTAAGGCCAGCAGTCCCTTTCACAGATGGTCTTGGCATGCACAGGCGAATGTGCACGTGCACACACATGCACTCACACACAACCACCCTATATGTTTGCTCTCTCTCCTGTGTCTTCAGGCATTCCCTGCTACTGGTACCTTCCCCTTAACCTATACACATGTACTAGTACTTTCTGGTCCAAAACAAAAATTAAAAAGACAAAAACAAGAAACAAATTCTCCTTTGACTTTGCCTACATCTCTAATTGTATCCAGTCTCTCACCTGTTTTTTGTCAGCATTTTCAAGACAATATCTATACTTGCCTCCTCCAACTCTTTACCTCTCATTCATTTCTAGGCCTTTCTTCTATCTCCACATTGCTACCACAATTTTTCTTGCTAGGTTTTAAAAAGCTTTATAATGGTTAGGACCACAGGACGTTTTTTGTTTTTTGTCTATTGGTCTTTCATGGTACATTTAGCAATGTTGATTATTCCCTTTTTAGGCTTCCGTGACACTGCCCTCCTGGTTCTCCTCATAACTCTCTGGATATTCCTTCTCTGCTTCTTTTGTGGGTTCTGTCCTCCTCTTAAGTGTTGGGGCTCCTGAGGGTTCTTGTTTCAGCCCACATTATCTCTTGCTCTGTGCATACTTGCTGCTTGACTTCATATACTCTCATGGTTCTAACTCTGCGTAAATGTTGGTGACAGCCATTTCTGTATCTCCCAGGAATGTTGTCCAAACTTCCTGCTGGACACCTGTCTCAAAAGCACCTCAAACTGAACATAATTCGAGCTGAACTCACCATCCTCCCTCTCAAAACTACTCATCCAGTGCTCCCTGCCTTGATGAAAAGCACTGCCATCCTTCTAGCTAACAACTTCTTCCTCCCATCTCTGCTATCTCCTGAGCCTCCAGGTCCTCTCATTGTACTTTATAGAAGTTGCTACAATCTGTTTTTCTTCTCAGTCCTTATTCTCACTGCTCTGGTTCTGGACCTCATTATTTCTGCCTTCTAACTTGTTCTGCCTTTCATCTTAACTCCTTCAGATCAAGCCTCCACAGAGCTATTAGAATGAGCAGTCTAAAATATACAGTTGGTATGCTTTTCTTTGTTTCCTACATGTTTTTTTTCCTTTTTTTTAAATTTTGGAAGCATATGTCATGAGGCTTAAAGAGAGGAAAGAATAGGTGTAAGTTTAGATAAATTTTATGAAAGTGGTATTAGAGGATTAAGGGAATTCCCTTTTGATGGCTTTATTAATCTTTATGAGATTTAAGGCCGTACCTTCTCAGTTCAGGATACAGAAGGGGATTACTGATTATATTTAAATTTTTAAAAATTAGACTTGATGGTTGTAGGAAACATAAGAAATATAGGCATATCTCAGAGATACTGTGAGTGTAGTTCCAGACCACCGCAGTAAAGCAAATGTCACAGTAAAGCAAGTCACGTGATTTTTTTGGTTTCCCAGTGCATATAATAGTTATGTTTACACTATACTATAGTTTATTAAATGTGCATATAGCATTATGTCTAAAAAATGAACTTACCTTAATTAAATACTTTATTTATAAACAGTGCTAACCATCATCTGCACTTTTGGTGAATTGTAATCTTTTTTGCTTGTGGAGTGTCTTGCCTTGATGTTGATGGTTGCTGACTAATCAGGGTGGAGGTTGTTAAAGGTTTGGGTGACTGTGACAGTTTCTTAAAATAAGACAACAATAATCTTCTCTACATCAATTCACTCTTCTTTCATGATTGGTTTCTCTAGCATACAGTGCTTTTTGATGGCATTTTACCCACAGTAGAAATTCTTTGAAAATTGGAGTCAGTCCCATCAAAATCTGTTTTATCAACTAAGTTTATGTCATATCTAAATCTGTTGTTGTTGTTTCAACAGTCTTCACAGCATCATTGTCAGAAGTAGATTCCATCTCAAGAAGCACTTTCTTTACTCATCCTTGAGTGGCAAGGCCTCATTTATTAAAGTTTTATCATGAGATTGTAGCCAGTTAGCCCCTTCTTCAAGCTTCACTTCTAATTCCAGTTGCGTGGCTATTTCCACCACATCTGCAGTTACTTCCTCCACTGTAATCTTGAATCCCTCAAAGTCATTCATGAGGGTTGGAATCAACTTCCACCAAATTCCTATTAATGTTGATATTTTGCCCTTTTCCTATGAATCATGAATGGTTTCAATGACATCCAGAATGGTGAATCCTTTCCAGAAGGTTTTCAGATTACTTTGCTCAGATCCAACAGAAGAATCACTATCTATGGCAAAGTCACAATTACTCCTGGATCCATAAGCTGCAGAAAATATGTTGTGTTAGCAGGCATGAGAACATTATTCTTGTACAGCATCATCAGAACTCTTGGGTGACCAGGTTCATTGTCAGCGAGCATTCATATTTTAAAAGCAATCTTTTCTGAGCAGTAGGTCTCAACAGTGGCCTTAAAATAAATTGTGTGGTATCATCCAGGCTTTGTTGTTCCATTTACAGAGCACAGGGAGAGTAGTAAATCTTAAAGGCCCTAGGATTATTGTAATGATAAATGAGCATTGGCTTCAACTTAAAGTTGCGGGCTACATTAGCCTTTAACAAGAGAATCAGCCTGTCCTTTGAAGCTTTGAAGCCAGGTCTTGACTTTTCTCTAGCTATGAAAGTCCTAGATAACATCTTCTTTCAATAGAAGACTATTTGATCTACCTGGAAAATTTGTACTTTAGTGTAGCCACATTCATGAATTATCTTAGTTACATTTTCTGGATAACTTGTTGCAGCTTCTGTGTCAGTATTTGCGATGTCACCTTGCACTCCTTTATGGAAATGGCTTCTTCCCTTACACCTCGTGAGCCAATCTTGGCTAAGCTTCAAACCTTTCTGTAACTTTCTCACCTCTCTCAGCCTTCATAGAATTAAAAAGAGTTAGGGCCTAGCTCTGGATTAGGCTTTGGCTTAGGGAATGTTTTAGCTAGTTTGATCCAGACCCTTTAAACTTCTCTCCATATCAGCAATATGGCTGTTTCCCTTTCTTATCATTTTTACGTTCATTGGAGTAGCACTTTTAATTTACTTCAAGAACTTTCCCTCTGCATTTACCACTTGGGTGTTTGGCACAAGAGACCTAGCTTTTGGCCTATCTTGGCTTTCAGTGTGCCTTTTTCACTAAGCTTAATTATTTCTAGCTTTTGATTTAGAATGAGAGATGTGTGACCCTTCCTTTCCTTTGAACACTTAGAGGCCATTATAGGGTTATTAATTTGCCTTATTTCAGTAGCACTGTGTCTCAGGGAATAGGGAGGCCCCAGGAGAGGGTATAGACTGGGGAATGGTTGGTTGGTGGAACAGTCAGAGCACACAAAACATTTATCAATTAAATTTGCTATTCTATTTGGGCACAGTTCATGGAGCCCCTAAACAATTACAATAATAACATCAAAGATCAGTGATCCCAGATTACCATAACAAATATAATAATGAAAAGGTTTGTCGTATTATGAGAATTAACCAAAATGTGACATAGAGACATGAAGTGAACAAAATGCTGTTGGAAAAAATCAACAGACTTGCTCAATGCAAGGTTGCTACGAGCCTTCAATTTTTTTTTTGATTTTTTAAATTTATTTATTTGACAGAGATCATAAGTGGACAGAGAGGCAGTGGGGGGCAGGAAGCAGGCTCCCCACTGAGCAGAGAGCCCAATGCGGGGCTCGATCCCAGGACCCTGAGATCATGACCTGAGCTGAAGGCAAAGGTTTTAACCCACTGAGCCACCCAGGCACCCCAAGCCTTCAATTTGTAAGAGAAAAAAAAATACATAGTATTTGCAGAGTGCAGTAAAGTGAAGTGCAATAAAATGTGGTATGCCTGAACTTCCCTGTTGGTGCAGTCCCTAAGATACCTTTCCAGTTATGCACATGTTTTTAGTCATAATCATTTGGTAAGTATTGTACAACTAGATACATGTTTTAGTGGCTCCTCTCTTTAAAGTACAACATTCTATATCATGGACAGCCAGTAGCAAAAGGAAGTCAAGAGGAATATGGGGAACTCAGTTTTTGAGCCATATTAAGCCCAAAAATGTACTTATGAGAAGTATGATAGTAATAGAATAGTCAGGGTTATCAAAAGAATTTCTGTTTTGAGAACTTGTAGGCCTTTCCTGTGTTGGGCTATCAGTGTGACATCACCCATCAAAATCTGGGCATCTAGTGCTCATAAATAAAAGTATAAATAGGGCTTTACTGGGGCGCCTGGGTGGCTCAGTGGGTTAAGCCTCTGCCTTCGACTCAGGTCATGATCCCAGGGTCCTGGGATCGAGCCCCACATTGGGCTCTCTGTTCAGCGGGGAGCCTGCTTCCCCCTCTCTCTCTGCCTGCTGCTCTGCCTACTTGTGATCTCTGTCTGTCAAATAAATAAATAAAATCTTTAAAAAAAAATAGGGCTTTACTTTTTGGCAAGTATTTTATATGTGAGGGGATATAGTTTCCTCAGATTGAAGATTATTGAGAATTCATATTGAAACTTTTAGTTTTATAGAGAAACATTGACTGATGGTCATTTAAAATTGTGAGTATAAAGCCATGTTAATATATTAGTAGTGCCTATAGCATATCAGCATACTGATATCAATAAACATTACTGAAAAACAATTTTCCACTTTACTGTAAATGCTGGGTTTCTAATTTTATTAATGGAATCTTTAAATTAATTTGAAGACCTTCATTTTGAGACATCTTGGTATATAGTGCAACTGTATTTTGGTAGATGTTGATCTATTATTTCGATATCTTTGGGATTTATAACATTTTAAGATTTTAGTGCTCTATATCTGCTTTTAGCCATTATGAATAATCAAAATTGATATAATATCTATTTTCAAATACTGAAGTATATATAATTCAGAAATAGTAAGTCATAAATGAATCCTTTGAAAATAAGTGAAGAATTAACTATTAAATATATTTGAAGTATTTATTGTCTGAATTATATGAATGCAATATATATGATATATAAGTATATAAATAATGCAGATACTCGATGTTTGGACATATGTTCATGTTACATGTTTCAAATTCTGTTCTAAATTAGACCCTTAAAAATTATTTTTTCATACATCAGTGGAGTTTGAAAAAAGACAACTCAATTTGAAAGTTAACTGCACTCTAATGATAGAAGAATGAAAATGAGATCTACCAGCTATGTCTAATATTTTGTTTACACTTTTTAGATTTCCATTTTGACAGTACCAGGAGAAGAACCAGGAACTTTTGCTGTTCGAGTCATTGAGTTGTGTCCTTCAACAATGACATGCATGAAAGGCACATGTAAGCACAGTAGAATCCGTTTGTTTTGTGGGTTTGTTTAGGAAGTAAAAGGGGGCAGCCATTGATAAAGTTGTCTGGGTTCTGGTTATAGTTTTGCCATATATTTTTTATTCACATTCTTTGTTCACACACTTTATGTTCATACAGTAAGTCATTTTATTGCTTTGCCTCTAATCATTTTTGTGGCTGGATCTCCATAGGCATAATTTATAAACCCTCTAGTGAAAGAATTTCTGTGACTTTATAGTTCTTTCTGTAACTTTACTTAAGCTTATTAGAAACATACTTTCACAAAATTTATTTTCTTTACTGCTATTATTCTTCTTTGTTTTTCCTCAGAATTCTTAATCCAGTTTATGAACTTCTGCCATATGTAAATTCTCTATTTTTTATGAGTCTAAAGTTTGGTAACACTTTATGTTCTTTTACCAATATGTATCAAAATTTCTGTCTCTAACATTGTCAGATACCATGCCTTGTAGAACATATTTCTCAAAGGTGTTTCACTAATAGAAATCAGCAAGGATACGTTGGATATCATTATGCCTAGACCTAAACTATGTACTGTAGGGATTACAAAAAAACAGAGGGTTGCATGCCTGATTTGAAATGTTCGTCATCTTGGGGCGCCTGGGTGGCTCAGTGGGTTGGGGCCTCTGCCTTCGGCTCAGGTCATGATCCCAGAGTCCTGGGATCGAGCCCCACATTGGGCTCTCTACTCAGCAGGGAGCCTGCTTCCTCCTCTCTCTCTGCCTGCCTCTCTGCCTACTTGTGATCTCTGTCTGTCAAATAAATAAATAAAATCTTAAAAAAAAAAGAAATGTTCATAATCTTAATGCACACTTAATAATAGAACAAGATGATATTAACTGTGTGCAGTGTATTCTGCTAGACATTTCAGGATAGGTAAAGATGAGTATGACATAGACCTGACCTTAGGGGACTCAATCTAGTTGGACAGGTAAGAGAAACAAAGAAGTAGCTGTAAGAGGCAGAATATGAAAGTACCATAAGAGGAACCAACAAACAGTGGACTGTAGAGATTCATAGGAAGGAAACAACAATGTCATTAACTAGATTACTTAGAATGCTGTAAATTTATATTGAGTTTTTTTTCAAATTGTTACATGAATTATGAGAAGCAGAAGACTAATCTGGTTTGGCATAGTCAATGAAAGCATGCCTATGTTTTCAAGTGTAAAACTATTACTTACTAAAAGATGTCAGAAATGTGGTTAAACAGAGAGAATTGGGAGCTTGTTGCCAGCAGGGAGAGTGAAGAAAACTTGTCCCTTATTGCTGTAATCTTAAATTTCATTTTGAAAAGTAGCTCACTGGTGGTTTTCTACCTTTTACAGTGATTTGTGAATTAAGTAAATGTTTACCATGACGGTTATCTTTATCATTATTGTTATCATTATTGTTCCCTATTACCTTAACAAGTTTTTTTCATGTCTTTTTACCAGTGTTAGTATCTTAGATATAAAACTGCACTCATCTTTGGTTTTTTAAATTACATTTATTTTATGTTTGTGAATATTTTGTAAATTTCTTTTTATAAACTTATTTTATTTTTCTGTGTGAAATATTTTTGTATGCCCAGTCTAATAATACATACTCACTATTGACAGTTTGAAAGATGTAAAAAAGAAAAGTAAAATTACTGTAATCTTTCTACCCATAGATGATGAACACTTGGTGTGTGTTTTTTTATCTTGCTTTTTACATGTATATACATACATATTTCCACAAATATGCAGTACTATTTTATATATTGTTTTATAATCTGCTTTTTAAAAAGGCTTAATACTACAAAAATCTTTTGCATGTCTATGATATTTTCAGTGGTTGTGGGTATACTGTTTTTATTTAATCCCATGTGGTTGAGATTAAGAGAAAATTTATACTTCGTAGTCCTATAAAAAAAAGCCAGTCTAATAAACAAATACTTGTAAAATTCCATTATTTTTTAAAACTTCTTTGGAATTATTGGTTCAAAGTGTATAGTTTTTTTTTTATTTTACAATTATAGATTCATAGGTATTTGCAAAGGTAGTACAGAGAAGTCCCATGTACCCTTCTCCCAGTTTCTTCCAGTAGTTCTATTTTACCAAATTGTAGCACAATATCAAAACCCAAGAGTTTGACATTGTTATAATGTGCATATATGATTTTATCACATGTATAGATTCCTGTGACCATTACCACAAGGATCCCTTGTATTGCCCTTTTATAGCCATAGCTACATCCCTCCCTCCCCACATCAGCTATCTAATCCCAGGCAACCACTAATCTGTTTTCTCTCTCAGTAATTTTGTCATTTTGACAATGTCATACAGAATGAATCCTATAATAGGTAATCTTTGTTTTTCTTTTTAAACATTTTTCTTATTTTTTATTTAAAACAGTAGATCTTTTGAGGTTTTTTTTTTTTTTCCTCAGTAAAATTTTCTTAAGGTTCACCCAACTTGCTGCATGCATCTATAGTACATTCCTGTTTATTGCTGAGTAGTAGTCCATGATAAGCTGTATTTCTTTCTGGCCTCCATGGTTTCTAATGAGAAATCTGCTGCTATTTGAATTGTTTTTCAACTGTAGGTAATGTGTCCCCCCACCCCAGGCTGCTTTCAAGATTTTTCTTAGTCTTTAATTTTTAAAAGCTTTAATGTGTTAGAGAGGAGAAGGGAGTTGGGGGAAATTGGAAGGGGAGGTGAACCATGAGAGACTGTGGACTCTGAAAAACAATCTGAGGGTTTTGAAGGGGCGGGGAGTGGGAGGTTGGGGGAACCAGGTGGTGGGTATTGGAGAGGGCACGGATTGCATGGAGCACTGGGTGTGGTGCAAAAAACAATGAATACTGTTATGCTGAAAATAAATAAATTTTTAAAAAAGCTTTAATGTGATGTGTCTTGGCATAGATTTCTTTGGAATTATTCTGTTAAACATTTATGCAGCCTCTTGAATTTGCAGGTTTATGTCTTTTTGCCAAATTCAGGAAATTTTCATCCTTTTTTTTCTCTGAATACTTTTCAGCCTTATCTTCTTTCTCCTTTTCTTCTGGGACTCATGTGACATGGCTATTAGAACTTTCACTATAGTTCCACATGTCTCTGAGGCTCTGTTCATTTTTTTAATTCAAAAATACTTATTATACCTATTAAGAAGAATGCATCATGCTGGAGACAATAGATTATACAAAGGAGTATAGCCAAAGTAGTAATAATAATAAGCCAGTACAAAGAGTAAGAAGAGCCCAAACTGTGTGCTTCTGTTCATTTTTATGAAGAGCCCAAGTGATGTGTGTTTCTGTTCATTTTTATGTAGGCTAATTTCTTTCATTTTATATTGTGTCATTTCCATGGTTCTACTTTCAGGTTCACGGATTCTTCCCTTTGTCCATTCCATTCTGTTGAACCCATCCACTGAGGGATTTTTAAAATTAATTATTGTATTTTCTAGTTCAAAAATTTCCATTTAGTTGCCCTTTAAATCTATATGCTGAGGTTTTTCCCTTTCTTTCCAGAGATTGTCTTTTGTTTCGTTTCCAGCAGGTTTATAATTGCTCACTAATGCATTTTTATGATGGCTGCATTAAATCTTACTTAACTCCAATAGCTGTGTCCTGTTGGCATCTGTCGATTGTCTTTTTTCATTCAAATTGAGGTTTTCCTATTTCTTGGTATAATGAGTAGTTTTGGATTGCTACCTGGGCATTTTAATTATTCTGTAGTGGGACTTGGATCTTACTCTGTTTTAGCAGGCCTCCTCTGACACTGCTCTGGTTGGGGAAAAGGGTGCTACCTCGTTAGCCAGGGAGGTGGCAGTTCCCCACTTGCCCTCTGCTGGCACCTGGAGGTTGGAGAACTTCCTCATTACTGCAGAGTGATTATAGTGTATGCTGTCTAGTAGTCCTCCACTGATTTCCATTCTGGATAGGGAGAGCACAGGAGTGCCTTGTTACTGCTCCCCACCTGGTCTTTGTTGACATAATGGGAGAGGGGTATGGTTTCATTACTCAGGCAGTGGTGGGAGGAAGACCTGACTCTCCATTAGGCCTCCTCTGACAAGACCCCAGTGTCTCATTTCTGCTGGAGAGGGTTAAAAATCCAGGATTCTGCCATGGTCTCTACTGAAACTGCAGATTAAAAGTGAGGGGATGGAGAAACATTTATCCAGCAAAGGGATGTCAAAAGAAAGCCAGAGTAGCAGTATGTAGACAAACTAGACTGTAACAAGAGACAAGGACATTATATAATAATAAAGGGACAATCCAACAAGAAGATATAACAGTTCTAAGTATTTATGCACCCAAATGCATTAAACAGTTAATAACAAACATAAAGGAACTAATCAGTAGTAACACGATAATAGTAGAGGACTTAAACACCATATGTACATCAATGGATAGATCATCCAAACAGAAAACAAACATGGAGACAATGGCTTTGAATGACATGCTGGACCAGGTGGATTTAACCAATGTATTCAGAACATCATCTTAAAACAGCAGAATATATCTTCTTTTTAAGTGTACATGGAACATTCTCCACTACAGATCAAATATCGGGTCACAACAGAAGTCTCAACAAATTAAACAAGATCTGAGTCATACCATTCATCTTTTCTTCTTATTTTTTATTTTAATTCCAGATAATTAACATACATGTTATATTTGTTTCCAGTGTACTGGAATTGTGATCTGTCATTTCCATACACCATCTAGTGCTCATCACAGCAACTATACTCCTTAATTCCTATCACATATTTCACCCATCCCCCCAACCCACATCCCTTCTGGTAACCATCAGTTTGTTCTCTTTAGTTAATAGTCTATTTCTTACCTTGTGTCTCTTTTCCCTTTGCTTGTTTGTTCTGTTTCATAAATTTCATATATGTGTGAAATCATTTGCTATTTGTCTTTCTCTAACTTATTTCACTTAGCATTATAGTTTCTATATCCATATTGTTGCAAATGTCATAATTTCATTTCTTTCACTGGCTGAATAATATTCCATTGTGTATATGCATATATACTACGTCTTCTTTATCTGTTTATCAATTAATGGACACTTGTGCTGTTTCCATATCTTAGCTATTGAAAATAATGGTGCTAGAAATATTGTGGTGTATGTATTCCTTTGAATTAGTGTTTTTGTATTCTTTGGGTAAATACCCAGTAGTGTAATTGCTGGGTCCCATGGAAGTTCTACTTTTAACTTTTTGAGGAATCTACTGTACTGTTTTCTACAGTGGCTGCACCAATACACATCACCAACAGTTCAA